AGGTTTGGAGTTAGGTTGGTGGTTTTAGTATGAATGGTCTAAGAGGAGATTCGTTCTTAAAATAGTCTAAGAAAAAGAAGACGGAAGATTATACAGGGTTCATACACATTTTTACTACAAAAATTCAATGACTTTTCCAGGACATTCAAGTCAATTTTCATGGTCTTATGTTTCATGTAATGTCTACATAGCCGTAGTAAATCAGAAGAAACAATTAAATTTATTACAACATATCATAAAACATGCAGTAGTTTCAATGTATTTTTATATCTCTGTAAAATAGATGATGCTTACACAGCACTAATAATGTGAGAGCCTGTTTTTGGCCAAAAAAAATAAAAAAAAAGATGTAAAAACAACTAACCTCCATTCCATTATACAGGTATTTGTAAAACTAATTTTAGATAATCTTAATATTTTTTTTAACTATTAGTAACTAATAGTTTGTGAAACTAGTAGTAGGTAAAACTACTTCTATTATTAAGCTACGATCACACTGCACTTTTCGCTCCATAGACTTCCATTCATAGGCATGCGAATGCGGCAGACCAAAATGCAAGCATGTGCGACAAGTTTCGCATTTCACGGTATTCTTGGTGAACTTCCCCAAGCTTGAGAAATCACTTGTGAAATCACATCAGGTGACTGCATGAGACCAATAGAAGATCATTTAAAATAAGAAATTTAAAATATGGAGCAATCCCTCACTTTTATTAATGTCTAATCATATTGTTTAACCCCGCCCCTTTTCACAGCGTCATACAACAGAATTTTGCAAGCACAAGCTCTAGTGTGACCGCAACTTAAGTCGCTTTGGATAAAAACGTCTGCTAAACGACTAAATGTAAATGTAATATCCATGACTTTTCCAAAACCATTGTGGCTTTTATGTTTTTCCAAAACTTTTCTAGGCCTGGAAAATGCCTTGTCAAAATTTCATGACTTGTCCAGTATGAACTGTATGAACCCTGATATTAAGTTTATGTAGTATAACAGTATGTTGTTTTTTTTAAGCCACCATAATAAACAACATAATTCTTTTCAGTAGCACTAGAAAAGGCTTACACACATTAAACCTTTGACCATGCTGTTAGTTTCGTCATTGGGCTAATAGATAGGCTTTTACAATTCAGACCCAAATGTGTGTAGAATGGTTTAATTAATTTTTAGTTCTAAGTTTTTAGACGCTTCTATAACGTCAGATATAATATGTAATAAAATGTTACTGCCAGGTTTTAAACGAGTTTAGTCATTATTTTAGTCATTTAAAATTTTTATTTAATTTTGTATAATTGTTATTATTATTTTCTTTTCATCCCCCTCTCTTGCTCTTCACAGTTCGTGTTTCTTTGACCTCTAAGGAGGGTCTAAGCCAGCCAGGGTGTGGGGGTTGTGATTTGTGTTAAGTTTTCTTTCTCCTTCCTGTTACCAGACATCCTAGTTTTGCAACTTGTGAAATACTTTTGAAATGTCTCCAAAAATGTAAAGTGTTTTGACACCTAAAATGTTCATTCAACACAACCATGTAAGTTTTTTAATGTTAGACTAATGGTTATATCTAGTTTTATAAATCTGAGGGGGGAAAGTTTATAGTTTAAGTTTAAGTTTTTTTTATTTCTCCTTTCCAGGTCAAAATGGATCCAAATGCATCAGAGTTAAAATGCTTGCTGACGATTAAAGTTACAATCTCAAAGTTAAAATGAACAGACATCATGAGAAAGAAATCATTTAACAGTTGAGAGTATGTTAATAACTATAAGGTCCAGAAAATAATGCAGACAATCTGAACTTAAACACATGGGTCCATTTCACCTCCAGTATACACTCTTAGAAATAAAGGTAGGATCTGTCACTGGGGCAGTACCTTTTAAAAAGATAGATATTTGTACCTCAAGAGTTCACAGTACACCAACGGTGCATATTAGTGCCCAAATGTACCTAAACAGTACCTTTGAGCTACCATTATGGACCCTTCAGGTACAAAAATGTATCACCCAGTGACAGCTCCTGTACCTTTCTTTCTGAGAGTTCAATAAGATGTACTGTAAATAGAACTGACACTGTCTGCAAAAATAAAAACTTAAAGAACTAGATTTTAAAGCAAGGACACAAATAAACACAAAAAAGCATTAAATGTTAATATTTAATAATTTATCTGAAAGTGCTAAACAGTACTCATTCATTAGACACAGATAAGGTGCTAAAATCGTTATCTGTCTGCTGTCAATCAGTGAGATAAAGACAACAAGTGTGGTGAGACAGGGCGACAGAGGATTTATAATCTGTACATCACACTGAATCCAATCAAAGTTCCACTTTGATCAAATAAACATTACCCTGAATGACCCAACTACTATTTCAGCTTATACTGCAGACTTTCCACCAGCTACTTCTATCAAACGATGCTTGAACAAATTGTACACAACACACAATACACAACATACATTTCTTTTTGCATTATTTATACTTATTTACTGCATATAAAAGTCCTTTTCAGCACTTCACTGATTTAAATAATTTTCTAAGTCATATTATCACATCATGAAAACACAAAATGATCTAATATTTACAACCAATAAACAAATTTCACAACATCCCTTCAGAGGGTCTTTAATGACGTCACAGACTGTCAAATGACTGTCATTATTGAAATCATTTCAGAATGCCTTTTTAAAGATTTCACACTGAATGATCTTTAACATGCTAAATTTGGGACAAAAGTCCATCTGTTTATATTTTACAACATTTAAAAGAAACAATAAGACATGGTAAAAAAGATGTTAGTAAAAATGTGAGTAAACCCGTTGCTTTAAAAGTGATATATTTAACTTATATAAAATTAAGTAAACCTTTTACCTCAAAAAATATTAAGTAAATGAAATTTTCACAGTTTAAATTCAGCAAAAATAATAAAATTATTTCACTGAATAGTTTTCTTTAAATTTTATTTGTCAGTGTAACTTTTAAGCTGGGAACAAATTTTATAATTCTGCATATCATTTTAAGGGAACTGAACTCTTTTAAAACAATAGGTTTACTCCCTTTAAAGTAAAGTCACCTTTTTTATTTTACAGTGATTTCAACGTCCCATTAAAAAAGTGTATTTTTGACAAATGTGATCGTGGAATTGGCCATCAGTCAAAATTACACAAAATTACAGATTTTTCTTTATACTACAAATCATTAGAACATTTAAGAAAAATCATGTTCCATTGTTGCTTTTATACATTTCCTACTGTATAAATAAAATTTTTGATTAGGCATGTGCATTGATAAGCACTTAATTTAGATCTTCCCATTTTTATTATTGTTCTTTTTTGAACATATTCCAGATTTACAAATATTTTTATCTCTGTCAAATATTGTTCAATAAAAAAAAATAGCACGAATCAGGAATCTCAACATTCATGTTGTCCAAGATCACAAATGTGTAGTTTTAACATCATTTAACCCATATTTTTTACATTTTATTGCCAAAAAGTTTATTCTAATACTTAAAGTGGGTAATTTTTATTTATTTATGAGTTTTTATAATATTATTATTTTAATGGATGTTTTTGTATATACAGTTGAATTAAAAACAATTAGCCCCCTTTGATTTTCTTTTCATTTTTAAAATATTTCCAAAATTATGCACAACAAAGCAAGGGAATTTTCACAGTATGTCTGATAAAATTTCTTCTGCTTAAGAAAGTTTCAGCTAGAATAAAAACAGCTTTTGATAATAATAGTAATAAAAAAAAAAAACGATTTTAAGGTCAAAATTATGAGCCCCTTTAAGCAACTTTTTTCAATAGAACAAATCATCGTTATACAGTAACTTGCCTAATTAGCCTACCCTGCCTAGTTAACCTAATGAACTCTGTTTTATTCTCATTAAACATGTTGCTGTTAGGTTCAATCATGTTAAGGTTTCTTTTCATCTGTACGCCGATCATGTTCAAATATATCTTCCTGTTGCATTAGACTCTTTTGATACACTTAAATCTCTTCACAGATGTTTAGTTGTTATATCAAGAGAATTTTCTCTGCCTGAATGAAAACAAAACTGAGTGCATGCATTTCGCAAGTTTTCCGTAATAAACAACAAAATGAGAGCGTGGCTGGAGATGTGTCTAAAATACGGGAGTGTTGGCAGGTATGCCCACACATACACTATGCACTCTGACTACTTCAATATTGTTGAAATGCCTTGCTGGGCATTTCTCTTTGTCTCATGCTAAACTCTGTCAACCAATCGCAACAAACTGGCATTGGTCCAATCTGCACAGATTAGCTTCGTGCTAATGAGGTGATTGGGAACAAATTAATTGCTGAACGAATCATATGGGAATCGCTAGAATAATTAGGTAAAACTAAATGCATATTATAAGACAATGAGTGTGTTTTTTGAGCTTGCATGCATATCACCCTGTTGGTGGAGACCCTTAAACCCAAAATATGACCCTTTTTAATGTATAATGGGGCTCTTTAAATAATCATTGCTTCATCTTTTAGAACTTGTGCAAAATGCTGTTGCTCGACTCCTGTTGAATAGTCAAAAGGATGAGCACACCACACCAGTCCTTTCTTTCCCTCACTTTTCTGGCTCCCTGTTAAAATCAGATTTGATTGTAAAGGGGGGCTATTATGCCACAAATTACAAGATGTAAAATAAGTCTCTGATGTCCGTAAAGTGTGTATGTGAAGTTTCATCTCAAAATATCACACAAATAATTTTTATAACTCTTTGAAACTGTCCTTTTTAGGTTTTGGTTCAAATTGTACAATTTCTGTTCCTTTAAATTCAAATTTGGCCGTTTAAAAAGTGGGTGGAACTATAAACGCCTATGTTTCAGCATAGCAGCAGATTAAAAATACTAATGGCGGACGGCTGCTTCTCTCTCAGGGCTGTCTATGCTAATGAGGGAGAGATTGTCACTAATGGGTGGGGCTTTCCACCTCTAATGACACGTACAAAGGGAGAATGTCAATCAAAGTGTTTCTGCAGAATTATTTTTTTTTTTTATCAAGTGTGATTATAAAAAATACAATTAATTCATTTTTACCATTAGAGGCTGGCTATATTCACACATTGTTGCCACACAATTGTGTCTAAACCTACATAAAAGTGATTTTTGCATAATAGGTCCCCATTAAACAACTTTTACTTGTTTTTAATGATGTTAATGACCTTGCGCTTTCATGTGTATGTGAGATTTTAAATGTTCACAAGTTTAACAGGGCCCAACAATCTGCATAGCTAAATGTTGCTGGAAAATCCCCACTCCAGGTGTAAACAATTCACCTTATTCTCCGCCGACGAGCGGGCGCTGCCATTTGAATCTTTTTGGCTTGAGACTTCCGGTCTCATTCACTTCCATTCATTTTTTGACGTTAAAAACTGCTCGTTAATTATGCTGCTTGATGTTGCATTTTGATATTTTCTTATTATATTATTCTACTTGGTCTGTATAGTCATGCAAACATTTGTTTGTAGAGCAAGTAGTTTGACCGTTTTCTGCTGTTCATTATTCCTAGTCATTTCTCCCATAGGTGACTGAATCAGAAGTTCTAAGACAATCGTGAAAACAGGCGCACTTCCGCATTTTAGAATAAGGTCAATAGGGGGATCGCTTATTTTCAGAGGCTGGCTCGAAAGCCTGGAATACCCTGCCCATCAATCTACACATTAACGTAGCACTGCTTAAAGCAAAACCCAATTATTTAGAGTAGCTTTTGATGTTTAGTAGTGCATCCTCCCCACTTTGCATAAGGTTAATGTGTTTTCACCAAGACATGTTTTTAGATCAACATCTTTGTTGATCCCGGAACAACATTCCAATCAGCCAATCAGAATTAAGAGATAAACTTACTTCTAAATGATTGTTATCCAATATTCCCCTGTGATTTGGGAATAATTTGCAGTTGTGAATGATTTTAAGTGTAGGATTTATGTATGGATTACATTTTTAAACCAAAATGACGTTCCAGGATTAACATAGATGTTCATCCAGGATCGAATCATACCTTTATTTAACTGTTTTAATGTTTTATTGACATTCTTGTTTTGATTATGTTCTTAATTTTCTAAAGTGCTTAAATTATAAAGCATTGGTGGCAGCCCTTTGCATGTAGTAAGGTGCTACATATTGTTGATTGATTGATTAGAATTTAACTGATCCCCATAAACAATGGGATCTTCTTCTGCAGTGCTATAATGGCCAAAATCACAGCACCCCCTCCTGACAACCCCAGCCAAAATAACAAACTGAAGGATGAAGGTTCAGGTATGGGCCGAGTTTTCATGGGTTTGGCCACACGCTCCCATTGGGTAAGAATAGCTTGACGGGCACCTTTCCAATGTCCTGGTCCACTTAGCCGAAACTGATACGGGGTGCAAGGCCCAAGGAAAACCCTCAAACCCAAAGCAGGATCCGTCATGAGCAGCCAAGCAATGTTGGGACAAGCACCCACTTCTTTGGCTATTGAGTCCAGGTAAGGAATGTAGTCCACTTGAAGGGAAGCCAGCTTGGGACAGGGGTGACTGTAGAGAAATTGCAGAGAGTTCAAGATGAGCAGAGATACACAGTCAAGCTAATATCTATTTAAAAGTTTCACCAACAAGAGAAATTTCTTTTAATAAGTACACACATAATTTTAATTTTGCACTTAACCAACACGGTAACGCTTTAATTTACAACCAGTAAAGTGCCATGTTAGAACAGTGAAATAACAGTGTAGTATAAGAATAAAGAAAGTAATTAAGCAAGTATAGTATAAGAATAAAAAACACATGTAAAGGAACTAACTGTAATGTTTGCCTGATACGGGGATAACAACCAGATATGCAACAGGCAAAGTACCACGTAAATATATTTAATAATTTTGTTCTTTAAGCATAGAGACGAGAAAATATTTGAGAGAGATGAAGTGTTTTAAAATCCCTATTTGGTAAAATTAAGTTTACAAAATAGAGAAATATATTGTGTGTTTGTATATTTATTTTGCCAACTTTAAGAGTTACCATGTAAACTACAGGGGAAAAGGAGGAAACAAATGCAGTAATTTCCCTTTAACTACAGGGAACAAGGAAGGAACAATGCACCACTTTAATTTACAACCCGCACATGCTGTATTTACCCTGTAACTACAAGGAACGAGGAGGGAACAATGCACCGCTTTAATTTACAACCTGCACACGCTGTATTTACCCTGTAACTACAAGGAACGAGGAGGGAACAACGCACCGCTTTAATTTACAACCTGCACATGCTGTATTTACCCTGTAACTACAAGGAACAAGGAGGGAACAACGCACCGCTTTAATTTACAACCTGCACATGCTGTATTTACCCTGTAACTACAAGGAACGAGGAGGGAACAACGCACCGCTTTAATTTACAACCTGCACATGCTGTATTTACCCTGTAACTACAAGGAACGAGGAGGGAACAACGCACCGCTTTAATTTACAACCTGCACATGTTGTATTTACCCTGTAACTACATGGAACGAGGAGGGAACAACGCACCATTTTAGTTTATAACCCGCACATGCAGTATTTACCCTGTAACTACAGGGAACGAGGAGGGAACAACGCACCGCTTTAATTTACAACCCGCACATGCTGTATTTACCCTGTAACTACAGGGAACAAGGAGGGAACAATGCATCACTTTAGTTTATAACCGGCACATACAGTATTTACCCTGTAACTACAGGGAACAAGGAGGAAACAATGCACCGCTTTAGTTTCCAACCCACACATGCTGTATTAACCCTGTATCTACAGGGAACGAGGAGGGAACAACACACCGCTTTAATTTACATCCCGCACATGCAGCATTTACCCTGTAACTACAAAGAAGCTGGACTTTAACACACAAGTGTACATCTGAACAGTAAGAACAGAGAAAACTAAAGCAGCAGATTTAATTAGATTAATTAGTTTTGAAATCTACGAGTAAGCTTTTATAAGGTTAGTAGTGTATGGAATTCTATATATTTAAAAATCATTTGTTTTCCTCATAAACTGCATACACCTTGTTAAATTGAAATGCAGATTTAAAATACATAGAGTATACAATAAAGTGTTATAATTTCACAGGTTGTAAACCTTTTATTCACCAAACACCCCTTGTTATAAAATCCATATTTACAGAAAAGTACACTGTTATTTCACTGTACTTACGCGGCACTTTGTAGGTTGTAAATTAAAGCGTTACCACTAACACTTTAAAATGATCATGTGATAAAATTATGTAAACATTTACCTCTTCAAATATGGTTTTATGTCTTTTTCAATTCTTTTTGACATTTTTTCAGCAGATGGAAGGTGTTTTAGTCCTTGAAGAACAGAGAGACAGAAAAAATGAAAAGCAAAAGTCATTATTAAAAGTTGTCATAGGAATTCATTAGCATTTAATAGACATTAAAAAAATGCATCTATTTAAATCTGTAGTAGTTCTATTTAAAGCTCTGGAGCAAGAGAGAATTTTTATAAGCCTAATTTCATGAAGTGTAAAATAAATAGTGTATACTGTAGCTATTATACTGTAATACTGTTATTAAATGTTGTATATTGTATATTTGAATAAAATCAGATATTTCAAAAGGAATACTATTGAAAATTAGAGGCACTTTTCATTTCCTTCTAGATTTTGGTGATAATTTGGCACCTGATGCTAGCTTCCTCTTTTCACTAATTTGCAAGATGAAAATACTGTAGCAATTTGAACCATTCTATAGTAAAATGTATTATACTGAATTATTAAACTTTAGTGAGAATGGATAAACTGTTACAAATACAACATACTGTAGTTTTATTACACTAAACTGATGTGTGGTTTATTATAAAATACCCTATAGTTGTAGAAAACAAACCAGTATTGGGTGATCTGTTTATATTAACATAGTTGTATTACAATAGCAACTACATAATTCAACACAGGCTCATTCTGAAAACGTAGTCCTGCTGACTTTTCTGGAGACCGCAAATTACGTAGCCGGAGGTGCGTATGGTTGCATTTCATTTTTTAAGCAAGCGCTACGGGGCGGTATGACGCCGTTCCTTTCTGCACTTATCAGCTGACAGCTTACCTCCGTGTGGAGGGCTTGCCTGCCACAACCAGTTTGTCCAGTTAGCTCATCGTGTACATTGGCGGACTTGAGACGCAGAGTTGAGTTGACCGTGATGACAACGATGACCTGGTTCGAGTTCCAGAAATCAGGTAAGACAAAAACAGAATCCAAAAAATAAAACAAACAAGTGAACAACAGGGTGAGAATATGGTAAAATCCAAAAACGTGGTAAAAATCAGACAAGGGGTTTTCTTTTTCTAGACGGCTTTTGTAAACCATTGGCTAGGCTTAGGGAAGTAAGCGGGTGGCCAGGTCAATCGGTAAAATTGTTTGGGTTTAGGGAAGGAGGAGGATGGGTCGGTCGATTGGCCGGTCGCCCAGTCAATCATACAGTCATTCAGTCGGTCGTCAGCGGCCACTGGTGGGTTTATGTGAGAACAGCGCATGCACGAACAGCACTCGTGAGAGGCAATTGAGATGCAAAAAAGCACAGACAGTGGCCTCTCGTGGATTTGTAAAAACAAAAACTGCAAAAATACGTACTTCCCGGGATGTATTCCGCGGTCTCCAGAAACGTTTGTGGAACTAGGTTTTCAGAATGGGCCTAGGTTGACATAATTACCACAACAGACTAATTCAAGAACTCAACTATAGTATGGTTTAAAACACTGTAGTATTTATTATTATAAATTGCTAATATTACTGCAGTTCTGAAGTGATTGAAATTGTCCAACAGCAAGTCCATTGAAAGAAAAGCTGGCCAATCCAAACCTAGATAGAATATTATATCTTTACATATCTTAATATAAGCATGGATTCTCCTATCACTGCTATGCTGATGATACCCAGCTATACCTCTCTTTTCACCCTGATGATCCCTCGGTTCCGGCTCACATCTCAGCCTGCCTGTCAGACATTTCACACTGGATGAAAGATCATCATCTTCAGCTTAACCTTACGAAAACAGAAATGCTTGAAGTTTCTGCCAACCCGACTCCACAATATAACTTTTCAATCCAGATGGATAGGGCAACCATTAATGCATCCAAAATGGTCAAAAGCCTTGGAGTAACAATTGATGACCAGCTAAACTTCTCTGACCACATCTATAGAACTGCTCGATCGTGCAGATTCGCACTCTACAACATCAGAAAAAGTCCGACCCTTCCCATCTGAACATGCAGCTCAACTCCTTGTTCAAGCTCTTGTTCTTTCCAGACTACACTATTGCAACTCTCTACTAGCTGAGCTTCCAGCTAGTTATATCAAACCTCTTCAGATGCTTCAGAACGCAGCAGCATAAGCGGCCTTTAATGAACCTGAAAGAGCACATGTCACTCCACTACTCATTCATTTGCACTGGCTGCCAGTTGCTGCTTGCATCAAATTCAAAGCTCTGATGTTTGCTTACAAAGCGATTTCTGGCTGCGCCCCTTCTTATCTGCTCTCACTCATGCAGATTTATAAGCCCTCCAGAAACTTGCGATCTGTGAAGGAACGTCGCCTCGTGGTTCCATCCCAAAGAGGGAAGAAATCACTTTCCCGAACTCTCGCGCTCAATCTGCCCAGTTGGTGGAATGAACTCCCTAACTGCATCAGAACAGCAGAGTCACTCGCTGTCTTCAAAAAATGACTAAAAACTCAACTATTTAGTCTCCACTTTCCTTACTAATATGCAATTCCCTCTCAGACTCCTCCACTAACTACATAAAAAACTTTAAAAATAAAAAAAAAATCACTAATGTTTTGCTTCTTACACTTCTTTTATACCTGAAACTTGCCTATAGCACTTATTCACTGTTGCTCTTATAGTTGTGTAAATTACTTCCTTGTCCTCATTTGTAAGTCGCTTTGGATAAAAGCGTCTGCTAAATGACTAAATGTAAATGTAAATATTAAATGTCTTTATGTATATACAGTCAAGGCGAAATTGTTCATTCTCCTGGCAAATTCTAACTTAAAGTTACTTTTATTTATCCAGCAAGATTTTTGTTTTTATTGACCAGAAATGACACAGACTTCTCCCAAATGATAATAAGATGATGTCTCTATTGGATTTCAGTCAGGACTCTGGCTGGGCCACTGTAAAACATTAATGTCTATTAATACACTTTTGCTGTGTATTTCAGGTCGTTGTTGTGCTGAAATGTGAAATTGTGCTGAATGTTGTGCTGAAATGTGAAATGATGGATGTTGTTGTTGAGAATCTTGATGTATTGTTTCTTTTTCATGGTGCCATTTCCTGTGTTTAGGTCTCCTGGCCCCCTGATATGTTTTTTTTTTGTTTGGTTTTCAGTGTTCTTTGTGTTCAAATCAAGACTTGTAATGTTGTAATTCAACATGTAGCTGCATGAGTAAATCAGGATAAACACTGAAATATTCTATAAAAACAAGAATTCTCCATACTGGAGTAACAACGACTTCGAAATTTAGTTCGCTCATTACCTGTGATGACCCTGGTTGCCCAGCGTGCCTGCAGTTCTGCAGCTGGCATGATCGGACCTCTGGTCTGCAATAAGCCTATGATGGCCAATGTTGGACGCTCTAGAGAAGGAGGAAAGATTCTTCTGTAGAGTTTCATGCCTCCATCAGCACTAGAGTTTAAAGAGTCAGGCAGGAAGGGGAATTTGTAATCATATCCTGTGCATAAGATCACTGCATCAATCTTCTCTTCAAAAGATCCATCGTCAAAGACCACTGTTGAGCCGTGAAACGTCTGCACGTTTGGTTTTAACACCAGTTCTCCTACCAGAATGCGACCGGGGAGGTCGTCGTTGATAACAGGACGATGGTCAAGGATCCTGGAATGACAAAATATGCACAGAGGTCACTGTGGATGAAGGAATATTGATATTTAGCTAAACTGTTTGGCCTTTAATCGTCTACTTTAATCGTCAACTTTACAAAAAAGTTTTGGTCCTTTACCTATGCTTCGGTTGTAATCCATAAAGCTTGTGGTTGTGTCTCTGATTGAGGCTTCTCTCGCCAATCCAGTTGACTAGCGCTCGAGGTATAAGGCAGTGCATCAGGTCTTGAACTCGACTAATGTTCATCATGTCTAGAGGCAGCCCTTTTTCAACCATGCGACCTATGACCCATGACCCTTTTCGGGTACTCAGGAATGTCTAGGCGAGGAACAGAAAGGACAAAGTAGAGTCAGAATTAGTGGACTAAGCAGAGACCATCTGAGTTTGACAAAATAATAAATAGCAACTGCTTGTAGACATTCCCACTGTAATAAAGATGAATGGTTAAGCCATCAGGAAGAATGAGTTTGGTAAATGTTTAAGATTCTTAAATAAAGACTTCTGGTTTTGGCAGCAATAGAAAAAGATGGTACACAGAGCTCTTGAGTAAGTAAATCTTAATAGTCCTCCTTAACTAGTTTAAACGATGAATGACCTACAACAATTACTTGGTATAACTGTGGTAGATATGCTGAAATCAAAGAAAATGGATAGTAAGAAAAAAGTAAACTATCCGAAATAAAGGATTTCTTAGAACACAGGAATTTCTCAGAGCCTTAACTATGACAAGCTGCATGAACATGTTAAATTTATCCATGTTTAAATGTTGATATAGGTTTGCAAAGTTAGTAACATCAGGATCATTAATGCTGCATTTGTATTTGATACTTTACACCTGATAGAATCCTGAGTAAATTCACAGAATCCTTGGAGAAAATGGGTAATGACATTCAATTCAATTCATTTCAGCTTTACTTGTATAGCGCTTTTACAATGTAGATTGTGTCAAAGCAGCTTCACATAAATGGTCATAGTAACTGGATCAGGGTAGTTTAGTTTTAAGTTTAGCTCAGTTCAGTGTGGTTTAAAGTCATTACTGAGAGTCCAAACTCTGAAGAGCAAATTCATCGATGCGCAGCTCTACCGATCCTGAACCATGCAAGCCAGAGGCGACAGCGGAGAGGGGAAAAAAAAACTTCACTGTTAGGAAAGTGAAGAAAGAAAAAAAACCTTGAGAGAAACCAGACTCAGTTGGGCACGACTATTTTCATTTCTCCGCTGGCCAAATTAATATAAAAATAATGGATGTAAAAACAAAGCAAATGGAGGCAAAGGAAGCAGTGACAGGCTTTCAAAAAGAAGCCACAGGCTTAAAACATGGGAGAATAATGTGTTCGCTAAACCCACCATCATTTGAGAAGACAGATTAGAAGTGCTAATGTGTTCAGAGTTATGTTCCGCTATTAACTCAAATGATGCTCAAAACTGTTTCTGTTAATCTCGTTGGTCACAATAACCTTGTCTTCAGTACCTGACACAAGTGGTTCTTACTTCTAGCCCAGCGATATTTTGGTGCTACTCAAGAAACACTTTCTGTTTCAGAGCCAGTGGCTGTTTCTCAATCTTTAAGAGCGCTAAAAACAGACTTGCGTTCTTGTGGAGACCGGTCTTGCCAAGTTACCACAGAAGAACCAACTTGGAAGACCGGGAAAACAGAGAACACATCCTGTGAGAAATGAGATGCTGCATTCTACTATGGTTCCTCCTGATGGTCACATGACCCTTACACACTTTTAACAGAAAATTATTTAAACATTACAGCTTTTAGGCAATTTATAGTTTCCCCCTTTTCACAATATATACTATGCATAGAGACCTTACAAATATACTTAGCACAATACAAATAAAACATATTTTAATACAAATTTCAGCAAATAAACACCCTTAATGTGTTTATGCCTCTATTAGGACTTTTCATGGTTATGTTTACTTTCACCATTTCGTTTAGGGAAACTCCTGAGGTAAATAAGTTATATCTCTGAACTTTAATAATAAATCAATATAAATTGCTGTGCTTCCCACCTCGAGTCGCTATGACTTCTGTGACTTCTAAAGCGAGTGCTGCGCTCAAGTCTGCATTGATGTATTCTCAATATCAAGAAGACATCCGGGAACTTTCACGCGTTCTTGTGGTCTTGAGTTTTGGAAATGAACTTTGACATTTGATAATGACATTTTACAAGGACGCAAGATCACGGAGGAACACATATTGATAAACAGCCTGTAACTTGATTTGAAACTAGACTCTTTCTCTGAACCACTGTTTGAAGTGCCTTAGTGGAAAAGGGTAACAGGAGCTCCAGAAAGCTCAGAGGCCTGCTGACAGTGAAGGAAGATCGAGGACCATTTAGGTTGCTTTTTTATTTACTTAAGACAACCTGCCTAAAGTTTTCACTTTTGTTATATTATAGCCATTTGCTAAAATAATTTAATTTAATTTTTCCTTATTTAAGTCCACACAGCACCCAATATTGACAGAAAAACACAGAATTGTTGAACATTTGGCATATTTATTAAAAAAAGAAAAACTAAAATATGGTCCTAAGTATTCAGACCCTTTGCTCAGTATTTAGTAGAAGCAACTTTTGATCTAATAGGGAAAGACGCAGTTTTTCACACCTGCATTTGGGGATCCTCTGCCATTCCTCTTTGCAGATCCTTTGCAGTTCTGTCAGGTTGGATGGTAAATGTTAGCAGACAGCCATTTTTAGGTCCCTCAAGAAATGCGCAATAGGGTTTAAGTCAGGGCTCTAGCTGGGCCATTCAAGAACAGTCACAGAGTTCTTGTGAAGCCACTTCTTTGTTATTTAGTTTTGTGCTTATGGTCATTGTCTTGTTAGAAGGTAAACATTTGGCCCAGGTCCTGAGCACTCTGGAGCAGGTTTTGTCCAGGATATCCATGTACTTGCTCTGTACTCTCCCTGTACTGTCCCTGCACCTGAAAAACACCCCCAGAGCATGATGCTGCCATCACCATGCTTCACTGTTGGAACTGTATTGGACAGTTGATGAGCATTGCCTGGTTTTCGCCACACATATTGCTTGGAATTAAGGCCTGAAAGTTTTATCTTGGTCTCATCAGATCAGAAAAGCTTATTTCTCACCATCTTGGAGTCCTTCAGATGTATTTTAGAGTGTCTTGCACTGAGGAGAGGCTTTTGTCGGGCCACCATAAAGCCCCGACTAGTGGAGGGCTGCAGTGATGGTTGACTTTCTACGACTCTCAACTGCATCTCTAGAGATCAGCCACAGTGATCTTTAGGATCTTCTTTACCACTCTCTTCAAGGCTGTTCTTCCTGATAGTTGCTTTAAGAAGGGTTCTGGTCATCCCAAACATCTTCCATTCAATGATTATGGAGGCCACTGTGCTCTAAGGCAGTGGTTCTCAAACTTTTTTCATCAAGTACCACCTCAGAAAAAAAATTGTCTCTTCAAGTACCACCAAAATGAGTAGTATTGAAATACAGTAGCGTAGTAGGCCCAGTAAAACAGCTACAACTCTGCACAGTTAAAAAACGTGGCAGATTACCTCAGAAATATAGGCTATATGTCATATATGACATATTATATACATCATTTTTTATACATTTTTGAAATGTGTGTAGCATGTACATGACATATTTCATTTCTCCGCGTATCACTAGAAGGAAGTCTGTGTACCACTAGTGGTACAAGTACCACAGTTTGAGAACCACTGCTCTAAGAGACCTTGCAAATATTGAGCAAAATCTCTGAGGAATGTTTCCACGTCTTGTTAAATCTACGCCAAACACAGAAGGCACATTTGACAACACATGCACATTTAGCTGGCGAGCGCAGGTTAGGAGCTGGGATTCAGCGGCGAGGAGGTAAGCAAAAGCGATAAGTTGTAAATCTAGGAAACCGGATTGACTTGACTGGACTAGACTAGACTGGGTATAACTTAGAATTTACTAGAGAGCGAGAGAAGGTACATAAGTATAGATTAACACACAATAATCCGACAAAGAGTAACAAGAGGGAACAGGTAAGGAGGGACCAATAGACTCAAATGGAAACACATGAGTAATGCTTGCGCTAGCGCTGATTGAAAGGAGAAACAGCTGAAGTTAACACAAAAGATTAGATCAAACCTGATTTGTAACAAAAATGTGACGAACATGGCTGAGATTTGCTCATCGTGCCATTAGTTTAACATCCAGATTACACGATTGCCTTTACTTTTGTATATTATTAGACTTTTTTGTTTAACGTCCTCGTCGAACATTTTTTTATTTGTGAATTTTTTGCTAAATAATAAAAAGTTGTCACAGCAAAGGGTCTGAACACTTAAAACCATGTGATATTTCAGTTTTTCATTTTTTTAATAAATCTGCAAAAATGTCAGCAATTCAACAAAACTTTAAGGGGGTCTTAATACTTTCCGTGCCCACTGTATGTTTATGTGACCCTGCTGAGAACCTAAAATAGATCAAATATGTGTAAAGAAATGTTAAATTACACATTCCTGCTTGCCTTTTCACATGTTCTGCTGAGCTCCACAGCAATGTCTCCACCAGAATTTCCAATCCCAATGATCACAACCTTTTTCCCAATGTATTGATCAGGCTTCTTATATTCCCAACTGTGAATTACTGTTCCTGGAAATGTGTCAATACCTGTAACAGACCAAATTGAAGTAAAGTTATGTAATTAATGTATTTTATTACACAGAGCTGTATTACATTCAGTGTTAAATTATAACAATATAAACCATTTTAACCATTCTGTTATCACAATGTACATTAGCCAGCCACTTTATTAGGTACAACAGTTTATTCATGTGAATAACTTATAAGCAAACATAGCAGCAACTTAGTTTGCTTAGATCTGCTGTAGTTCAAACTGAGCAGACTGATAAAGAAAATAAATTTAGGTGACTTTAAACATAGAACCAAAATAGCTCATCTGAATGTCTTGGATGCTTCTGATCAATCTGTATTTTCATGCACAACCATCTCAATACAATGGTCAGAAAAAATATATTCAATGAGATGTAGTTCTCTGAGAAAAAGGTATTGTTGAAGACAAAAGTTATGACCAGACTGAGTTCATCGAAGGGCAACAGTAAATACTCAAATATTAACTCATTACAACTAATGTCTGCAGAGGAGAATCGCTAAACACATTAAACCTTGAAGCAGATAAGCAACAGTAGCAAAAGAAGAAGAGCGCTCTAGGCAGATAACAAAACAGGAATCTGAGACTATAATTTAGAAAGACTGAATAAAACAATAGAAGATTAAATAAAAGTTGCCTGGTAAAAGAAATGTAAAAGAAATCCATAATTTTACGTTTTTCCCAGCAGCTGGGGTGCAGGAAAAACCCCAAAAAATAACGGCCGTTAAGTTACAGATATTTACTGTAAAATTACAGGTTGACTTACTGAAATTTACCAGAAATTTTAATTTAAGAACATTTCTGTAATTTACTGTCCATTATTTTACGGTAAATTTCTGTAATTTAACAGCCATAATAATAACTCAGCAACCGTAAATAAAATGTAAAATTACAGTTTTTTTACAGTGTAGTACAGGTTCTGGCACTCTAAAACTGCTTAAAACAGTGGAACAGTCATATATGATTCAAGACAAAACAATCACCATACTTCAAGGGAAGTGCTGAACTTGGTCCATGCTTAACCCAACTGAAAGGCCAGTAAGGAGTTCTCTTACAGTTGAACATTTGGATTTTGACCCAACCGTTTTATTCATTGTACATGAAACTTTCTGAATTCATCACAATGTCATTGAGCTCCCAAAAAGCAGGAGTAAGGTAGGCTAATGAGATTATATTAATATTAAAATTTTGATAAAATCATGTTATTAGTTTATGATTTCACTGTTTCTGCAGTTTTCGATCTGTCAACATGCTGGTTGATGAGTAATTGAGTAACTTGGGTCAAAACAACCTAGCAGTGTTCTGTCCCATAGTTATTCATTCATTCATTCATTCATTCATTCATTCATTCATTCATTCATTCATTCATTCTCTGATCGCTTCGTCCTATTATTCATCATCAAGGGTCTCCACAGCGGAATGATCTGCCAACTTAGGCTGCATATGTTTTACACAGCGGATGCCCTTCTAGCTGCAACCCAGTACTGGGAAATAATCATACAATCACATTCACACTCATACGTCCAATTTAGTTTATTCAATTCACCTATAGTGCATGTCTTTTGGACTGTGGAGGAAACCGGAACACCTGGAGGAATCCCACGCCAACATAAGGAGAGCTTGCAAACTCCACACAGAAATGCCAACTGACCCAGCTGGGACTCAAACCAGCGACATTCTTCCTGTGAGGTGACAGTGCTAACCACTGAGCCATCCATAGTTACCCAATGTCAGGGTTATTTTCCAGCCCAGAATTTTTTAAAGTAATGAATTACCCACTGAGTGAATTATTATATATTATATCAGTTAAGTACCTGGAAACTCTGAGAGGGGTTTAATGGGTTGCGTGTAGTGTCCTGCACACACCAGCACACCGTCAAACACATGTGTCTCCACTTGTCCTTCTCTGTCTGCGGTCACCACCTCCCATTGACCAGAGACAGAGAAATCAGGCCTTTGCCTCACACTGCGAACTGTGGTCTGAAATAAATAATAATGCGGCATCATTTAGTAATCATCAAACACTTATCAAAAACACACACACATTTACAATATTGTGGATTTACTCACCTGAAAGTGGATGTGTTCGAAGAGGTTGAAGTGCTCAGCGTAGAGCCTGTAGTATTGCACGATCAAAGAGTTGTGCATGAAGTTTGGGAAATTATCGGGCACAGGGAAATCACTATAACACATCATCTCTTTAGAGGTGTTCACTGTGAGAGAGTGATAAATGCTGCAACGATCTGTTTCAGGCTTTTCCTGTGAATAAACAGAAGGAAATACATATATACTGCATCATACTTTCCACAAAATATTAATACTAATCAATATTTTAACATGACTATATCATCAAACCATTTAAAAAAGGCCTTGCCATAACAAAAACAACTAATACTTCATTCTGATTGGTCAGTCACAATATTCCAAGGCATGTTATTCCATGACAACAATTATCTTCATTAGCAATCTTGCATCTGTTATACCTATTAGAGATACCCATATATATATATATATATATATATATATATATATATATATATATATATATATATATATATATATATATATATATATATATGGTATTATATATATAATACACACAACATATATGCACATATTTTACAACCCCAAAAGATGGGACAGTGTGGAAAACGCAATAAAAAAAGAAACTAGTGATTTCCAAATTTACTTTGAGTTTTATTTTATAGCAGACAATATGAACACAAAATATTTCATGTTATGTCTGGTCAACTTCATTTCATTTATAAATATACATTCTTTCCTGTCATTCAGACCCAACATTCAACACATACCAGAGCAGTTTATGACTGGTAATCAGGTAAATTGGTTAAATAATAATGTGTCTAGTCCTTTAGGAGCAATGATGGGCCAAGGATCGATAGTTTCTCAAAGAAAGGTAGGAAGATATTTGAATGTTTCACTTTCAACAGTGCATGATCTGGAGGAATTTCAGCGTTTAAAGGACAAAGGCACAAGCCTAAACATGTCTCCGATCCCTTGGGCAGCACTGCATGAAAAATTGTTGTTCATCTATAAGCAATCATCTGGGCTCAGGACTACTTTGGCAAACCAGGTATTTTTTTTGTCAAAGACCACAATACGTAGTTACATCCACAAATGCCAGTTAAAACTGTACTGTGCCAAAAGAAAGAATTGTCGTCGACTTCTGTGGGCTCAAAGGTATCTAGGATAGACCATAATACAGTGGAAACATGTACTGTGGTCAGATGAATCAGTATTTCAGGTATTTTTTTGAGGAGAAGTGGACACTGTGTGCTCAGGACCAAAGAAGAAAGGATCATCCATTCTGTTACCAACAACAAGTCTAAAAGCCATTGTCTGTCATGGTATTGGGTAGTGTCAGTGCCCTTGGCAAAGATAACTTACACTTCTGTGATACACCAATAATGCTGTAAAATACATTTATTCATTCATTTATTTTCTTGTCAGCTTAGTCTCTTTATTAATCCGGGGTCGCCACAGCGGAATGAACCGCCAACTTATCCAGCAAGTTTTTACGCAGCGGATGCCCTTCCAGCCGCAACCCATCTCTGGGAAACATCCACAAACACATTCACACACACACTACGGACAATTTAGCACACCCAATTCACCTGTACCGCATGTCTTTGGACTGTGGGGGAAACCGGTGCACCCGGAGGAAACCCATGCGAAGGCAGGGAGAACATGCAAACTCCACACAGAAACGCCAACTGAGCCAAGGTTCGAACCTGCGACCCAGTGACCTTCTTGCTGTGAGGCGACAGTACTACCTACTGCGCCACTGCCTCGCCCTGTAAAATACAGTACATAGAGATTTTGACGCACAATTTGCAGCCTTCTTTTTTTTTAATGACGCCCATGCATATTTCAACAAGACAATGCAAAACCACATACTGCACACATTACAAAGTCCTGGATGTGCAGGAAGAGGGTACAGGTACTTGACTAGCCTGTCTGCAGTCCAGACCTGTCTCCTAATGTCTAGTGCATTTTGAAGCACAAAATGCAAAAAAAAAAATATAAATAAATAAATAAAAAAAAAACCTGTGGTGTTGCCCACTTTAAGACTTGTTTGCAGGAAGAATGGGACAAAATTACACCTGAAACATTTCATCACTTGGTGTCTTGAGTCTCTAAACAGCTTTTAAGTGTTGTGAAAAGGAATGGGAACATTACAAAATGCTAAATGCTTTTTTGTTCCAACTTTTTTTGAAAGGTGTTGCAAGAACCAAAATTATGTTTATTTATTATAATAATGAGGAACAAATTTAATAATGTTAAAGTGAAAGTAAATTTAGAAATCACTACTTTAGTTTTTATTTGCATTTTCCACACCTTACCAACTTTTTCTGATTTGGGGTTGTAGATAGTATTTGTGAAACCAAATATGAACTTGTATGTCACACATGTGTTTTTCAGAAATTGCCATATATCAGATTTCTATATGTGTATAAAAGATATCTGATGACATTGATATTACTGTACGAGTCATGCTTTGCTCATCTTGCCAGGATGTTTTGTTTTAAACACCATAATGGATTATGAAATAACAAACAGGTATGATTTTATGTCATAGAATGCAGTCTGATAAATGTCATGACTGTTTTGTATCAAATAAAGCGATAGTTCACCCAAAAAAAAAATTCCTTACAATTTACTCTCCATCAAGTAGTTTGAAACTTTTATGAATGTTTTTCTTTTGTTGAACACAAATGAAGATATACTTAATGTTTGAACCCAGTAACCATTGACATCTATTGTAAAAACAAAAAATACTATGAAAGTCAAAGGCCTCTGGTTTCCAACATTCTTAAGTGTAACTTCCTTTGTGTTCAACATGTTTTTAAGTGATTGATTACTTCTGGTGTTTGTTTAGTTCCACATGTTCAATTGTAAAGTTAAAAGTCACTTCTATATAGCAAACATTTTCTTTGTGAAAGCATTGAGTTTATTGAAGTTGATACTAGTTCTGATCAACCTGTTGGAGATTATTCCATGATAACACCTGAGAGGATATGTATTATCCTTTACTTGTCAACACTAGTTCTTGGAGTATCATTTGTTTTTTGTTGATGGGACAAAAATAACAACTTGACCTTTATATTTAAGCTGTTCATTACATGTTAATTAATTGTCTTTAATAAGGTGTGCCTCAGGGGTCGGTGCTAGGGCCTTTTCTTTTTTTTATATGTGCAACTTCAGTAGGCTCATTCATGTAGAAAAGCTTACCCTAAACCGCCAGAGTCCTCCGATATCATCACTGCTTTCAAAACACACCGGCTCCAGTCCTTCATCCAGGCAGCATTTGATGGCAGCCAGACCAGAGCTGCCTGCTCCAATCACAGCCACACGTTTAACCATGCTGCCAGTCTAACATGCAATGATCACTTGAAAAGAAGCATGCGTATGGAGGTTATTATTTAGGGACAAACCGTTTTATTAGTGTCCCCACATTGCTTGTGCCTTGCATTTTTGCAAAGGTGTTCACTCAAAATATTTGGCACAGATCTGCTATTTATTGGTTAATAAAACATGACATGCCAGCACATGTTGACTTAAACACAGGCATCAGTCTAAACAAATGCTGCAAGCTTAACACACATGTAATAATGCTTACCTTTTGAATGAAGACGTCAGTGCTCAAAACTGTCCAAATGATGTTTTTCTCTTTCTATTTGTTAGCGCAGCTTTCCTTTGCAGGCGTCTCATTCAAATCCGCCTGTTATGCAACCAAATGAGCGTATCTGAAGTCTCAAAGGAAAGGGGTTGTCTTGGCTGGCACCAGTTTAAGGTGGATCAAACTGGAATGAACAATTTGTCCAAAAAAAAAAATGCGGACATCACAGACATGCAAGACTTTATCTTTGGTCATAAATGTTATCATAAACGGCTTCACTAGATTTTCACAATGCTCTGAAATGTGCAGTTAATGATGAACCAGCAGATGAGACTTGCAGGTGTTAAAATAATCTTTAACTAAGTTAAAATAACATTAAAGAATGCATAGCATGATTTTAACAGTAGTTTGAGGTTTAATGTCACACATGAAAAGCTGAACTGAGCTGAACTAAGTGTGAAAAGGTTCACTAAAGGTGAAAGGGTTTTAGAGGGCTCGGCGATGTGTGATCACAGTTAACCCTTTCCTTGGTATCATATGACTTATTCTGCAGACCTGTTAGCAGAAATTAATATTTAAAGTGTTTCTATGATGTTTTTCTCCTGTATACACTCACCGGCCACTTTATTAGGTACACCTGTCTAACTGCCCGTTAAACCAAGTTTCTAATCAGCCAGTCGCATGGCAGCAACTCAATGTATTTAGGCATGTAGACATGGTCAAGACGATCTGCTGCAGATCAAACCGAGCATTAGAATGTGGAAGAAAAGGGGTTTAAGTGACTTTGAATGTGGCATGACTGTAGATGCCAGACAGGCTGGTTTGAGTATTTCAGAAACTGTTGATCTACTGGGATTTTCACGCACAACCAACTCTAGGGTTTACAGAGAATGGTCCGAAAAAGAGAAAATATCCAGTGAACGGCAGTTCTGTGGGCACAAATGCCTTGCTGATGCCAGAGATCAGAGGAAAATGGCCAGACTGGTTCCAGCTGATAGAAAGGCAACAGTAACTCAAATAACCAGTCGTTACAACCGATGTCTGCAGAAGAGCATCTCTGAATGCACAACACATCCAACTTTGAGGCAGATGTAATACAGCAGCAGAAGACCACACCAGGTGTCACTCCTGTCAGATCAGAACAGGAAACTAAGGCTACAATCCGCACAGGCTTACCAATGGACATTAGAAGATTGGAAAAATGCCTGTTCTGATGAGTTTTCAATTCAGCTGCGACATTCAGATGATATGGTCAGAATTTGGCGTCAACAACAAGAAAGCATGGATCCATCCTGCCTTGTATCAACAGTTCAGGCTGGTGGTGGTAGTGGTGTAGTGGTTTGGGGGGTATTTTCTTGGCACACTTTGGGTCCATTAGTACCAATTGAGTATCATATCAATGCCGCAGCCTACTTGAGTATTGATGCTGGCCTTGTCTATTCCTTTAAGACCACCACTCTTCTGATGGCTACTTCTAGCACGATAACATGCCATGTTATAAAGTACGAATCATCTCAGACTGGATTCTTGAACATGACAGTGAGTTCACTGTACTCAAGTGGCCTCCACAGTCACCAGCTCACAATCCAATAGAGCACCTTTGGGATGTGGTGGAACAGGAGATTCGCATCATGGATGTGCAGCTGACAAATCTGCAGCAACTGCGTGATGCTATCATGTCAATATGGACCAAAATCTCTGAGGAATATTTCCAGTACCGTGTTGAATCTCTGCCACAAGGGATAAAGGTCAGTTCTGAAGGCAAAAGGGAGTCGAACCCAGTACTAGTAAGGTGTACCTAATAAATTGACCATTGAATAACTTCTAACATTTAATTTAGACTGCTTTTTAAATTGCTTTCCTTAAGCTCGAATAGTAGTGTGCTGTGCAAAGCCAAGGTTTTAAGTTCAATTCCCAGTTAAAGTAAGAACTGATAAAATGTTATGGCTTATAAGATAAGTAAGTTGCTTCGGATAAAAGGGTCAATTGCATAACTGTAAACATACAGTAGGTCTGAACTGATGTTTCCATCCTAATGCGAAGTGAATCTTTTAAGTTAAATTAGGTGCGTTTCCTTTAAGTTGTTAGAGTAACAGACTGTAGTATTGGTAACCTACTAACAGTAAACAAGGCAAGCATGTCTGAGACAGCTGTGAGTGGGTGAAATGTTCGCATGTAAGTCAGAGATTAATCTGCAAAAGCGCTTCCATCTCCTATTATTCGCATAAACCCTTTGTTGTCCAAAAACAAAGCCAAACTTACCTTAAGAATGTGCGTCAACTGAAGCAGAAATGCGAGTGCAAACACACTGTGAGCACTTCTACAACAGTCAAAGCTTTTAAAAAGCTGAAAGCGATCAGCTCTAGGCGTTCTAAAAATGTGATGCTTCCAATGATAACAACAGTATAGAAGGAGAAAAACAGGTTTGGTGGACACCCACCATTTTGTGAGCTTACAATTGTGTTATGTAATACTTCTAACTGCACAATAACTCAGGGTGATGGAAACCCAGCTATAAAGTGCTGAAATTCACATATGGTGTTGTTGGCTGTTTGTTTTCCAGAGTGCATAAAGTTGAACCAGTCACAAAAGATTGGGTTATGATGACCAATCAGTGTCAAGTATGCCTCTCATTTAGATCATAATGCGTTGTGTATTATCAGAATAAAAAGTAAACCTTTTGTAGGAGACTCAAAACACACTTTGGAATTATGAGCCTAAAACAATTGTTTTAAATATAATCAGAGTTCAAGAGACAATTAATTAGGGCCCTTTTCAACCAAATGGCACTCTGTGAACTGCTTTTCAAAACGGCTCAGTACTCTTTCACGCCATATGATATGCATTTAAATGTTGGAAATTTGCATTGAGCAGATGTACTACTGAAAATAATTCAATGTTTTTACAATTTTTATTTTTAAAGAAATAACTGTAAAAAATTGGAGAATGTAAAAGAGTTTGCCCCAAAATAAAATGTACTTTCCCCTCACTTGTTCCAAAACTTTTTTTCCTTTTTCTGCTGAACACATTAGAAGCTAATTTGAAGAATGTTGGAAAAATATAGCAACTGACATCCATGGTAAGAAAACACACTCACACTATGGTCAATAGCTACCAGCTTCCAACATTATTATATTAGTTCAACAATAGAACGAATCTCAAATGTGTTTTAATCAAGTAGTGGGTGGGTAAATTATTAAAGAGTTTTCAATTTGAGGTGAACTATATCTTTAAGTACAACTATGTCTTTCAGAGTTTTTAAATTTGTTGAGACATTTCCGTTAAAAAACTTAACCTTAATTATTATGTGGAATAATAACAATAATAATAATAATAATAATAATAATAATAATAAAAATAATAATAAATAATAAGGGAATTTGCACTTTAGGTTTGTTTGTAACCCCAGCTTATCAAAAATACTTGACTGTATTTTAAATTTATATAAAATAATAATAAATTTACTTCCAGTGCATCCAGAAAGTATTTTTAGCGCTCCACTTTTTCCACATTTTTTATGTTACAGCCTTATTTCAAAATGGAATAAATTCATTTATTTCCTCGAAATTCTACACACAATACCCCATAATGACAATGTGAAAAAAGAGTTTTTGGAAATTGTTACAAATTTATTAAAAATAAAAAATCGGAAAAATTACATGTACTGTACAGAAGTATTTACAGGCTTTGCCGTGAAACTGTAAATTGAGCATTCTTTTTCCTCTGATCATTCTTGAGATGTTTCAGCAGCTTAATCTAGTTCACCTGTGGTAAATTCAGTTGATTGGACATAATTTGAAAAGGCATACACCTGTCTATAAGGTCCCAGGGTTGACAGTGCATGTCAAAGCACAGACCAAGCATGAAGACAAAGAAATTGTCTGTAGATCTCAGAGACAAGATTGTCTCAACGCACAAGGCTGGGGAAGGTTACAGAAAAATATCTGCTGCTCTGAAAGTTCCAGAGAGCACAGTGGCCTCCATCAATCTGAAAGTGGATGTTTGGAACCACCAGGATTCTTCCTAGAGCAGGCCGACCATCTAAGCTGAGTGATCGGGGGAGAAGGGCCTTAATCAGGGAGACAATCAAAAACCCGATGGTCACTCTGTCTGAGCTCCAGCGTTCTTCTGTGGAGAGAGGACTGTATGGTAGAGTGGCCACTCCCTGCCTGGAATTTGCCAAAAGGCATCTGACAAATTTCTCTGGCCTGATGAGACTAAAACTCTCTCTTTGTACTGAATGCCAGGCGTTACGTTTGGAGAAAACCAGCTACCGCTCATCACCAGGCGAATACCATTCCTACAGTGAAGCATGGTGCTGGCAGCATCAAGTTGCAGGAGTTGTTTTTCAGCAGTAGGAACTAAAAGACTAGTAAGGACAGAGTGAAAGATAGAGATGAGGGAAGGATAGAGATAAATGCTGCAATGTACAGAGACATCCTCAATGAAAACCTGCTTCAAAGTGCTCTTGACCTCAGACTGGGGCGACGGTTCATCTTCCAGCAGAACAATTACCCAAATCACACTGCCAAAATATAAATGGAGTGGCATCACAACAACTCGGTAAATGTTCTTGAGTGGCCCAGCCAGAGCCCAGAGCTAAATCCTATTGAACATCTGAAAACAGCTGTACATCGTCGCTTTCCATCCAACCTGATAGAGCTTGAGAGGTACTCAAAAGAGGAATAGGCAAAAATTCCAAAAGACAGGTGTGGCATCTTATGGCATCATATTCAAAAAGACATGAGGCTGTAAGGTGTCAAAAGTGCATTAAGTATTAAGCAAAAGCTGTGAATAATTATGTACATGTGATTTTTCTGTTTTATTTTTAATAAATTTGTAAGAATGTCCAAAAACATTTTTTTTCATGTTGTCATTATGGGCTATTGTGTAGAATTTATTCCATTTTGAATTTATTCCATTTTGAAATAAGGCTGTAACATAAAAATATGTGGAAAAAAGAAGCGCTATGACTACGGTCTGTATGCACTGTAGATTAAAATTACAGGGTTAAAATCCTTTTTCTAACATGCACATTTGCTCCAATCGTGTATGTGGTTTTAAGAGAGTTTAAGAAATGTATGGGTTTTTATTAGCATTAAGGCATAAAACTGAAACAAAAGGCTTTTTCAAATGGTTTGAGTACCAACATTTCTTCTTTTGTGAAAAAATAAACATCCCAAAGGTTTAGAACAGCAAGTGAATGAATGAATTATGAAAATGTTTATATACTTTAGACATATTTTCATACTAATGCTTTATATGTTAAAAAAACATTTTGGTAGCCAAAGAACAAAACAACTTGATTAAAGTTATCTGAAATTGCCAGTGTAATTACATTATTACTGACCAGCAGAGGTCACCATAGCATTAGCTTTGGTTCACAAGGAAATTCTCTGCCGTGGACCAGTCTGCATACCTGTCAACATTGGTATGTGAAAATAAGGGATATGCCCACCATAATTAGGGATATGCCTTAAATAAACAGTTAAATGGTCAGTAATATGTTTTTTAATATTAATATTATGTACAAAAGTAAAAATAGATTTTTTTTGTTTGATTACATTAAATAACAGGTGTCACTTTAAAAATGCACAAATCTAACAATATAATGAAGGCATTTGACTGCTTTTTATGCTCATTTAAGACGAAATTTGTTGTATTTGAAAAAAAAAAACACCAACATCGATATCTTTAGATAATATTATTATTAATTATGTGTATAAGTAAAACACGCAGCCAAAAGCCACTTTCGATCCGCTTCAAATCGCGTACAGTCCAATTGGGAAACAGCGTCTATTTATCACTATGGATCGTGTCAGCTGACAGTCACGCACCGATATATGACTGTTTAGAGGATTGCATAGGAGGGGTGACGGCACCTGTAATGAAAAGTAAAGGGAATCGCGCCGTTTTTATATTTATTTCAGTGTTTTCGTGCCTAAACAAAGTGAAAGGAGCCAGGGGTATGGGTTGCGTTTAGGGAGGCTCGACTCTTAAAGGCCATGAAACCCCCTCGTTTCAGCAGGGTGTTTTCACACGTCTACTTTGGAAAAAGTCTGAAAAGTGGGCTTGTCCAGCTCTGTTTAGGGGGGAGTGTGGAGGAACTAAAGTGATATGGTGTGGGAGTGTCTATTCGGGCGTGCTGAGTTTCAGAGTCAAAACACACACACACACACACACACACACACACACACACACACACACACACACACACACACACACACACACACACACACACACACACACACACACACACACACAGGGAAGAAAGTGACTGTGTTTACATGGACATCTGTAGTCAAATTATTTGCCAAATTATTAAATGGTGGACTTTAACTGCAGTTTGGCTCTTTCATTCAGGGAATTCATTCACGTCCCTCATGACAAACGAGATATTTGATTCGAGGGACTGCTCTAAGTGTGTATTTTTCATGCAATGTTTGATACCGCACGGCGAATGAGGAAAAAAAACCCTCAGCATTTCCTGGAAACTTAGATGCACACGGCAGGTGGCGTCAGAAAGCCGCGTATGTTGTTCCGGTCACAAAATGCGGGGAAAATCATACACGAGGTAAAAGTTGGTTGTGGTGCTAACATGTTTACACTCAGTGCAATAGTTTGTTCGATACGAACAAACTGAATAAACAAAGAGCACTGCTTGCTCACTTACCAAATCTGTAAATCTGACAGGACAATCACCAGCAACTAGAGCCGCGTCTTTATTAATAGGAGACTACAAGCGAATCCGGATCTCAGCGTTTGCAGATGAGAACAGCTCTCAGGTAAACAATGTTCCTCCTTAGACATGTAAGTTATTGTTGTCGAGCGTCGCGTACACTGTAATCCACACATGAGTCTGCACTCTCAAAGAGAGAAAATGAAAACAAAACCTAACTGCAGCAAACTATAAAAGCAACAATTCATGGTTGTTTTGCCAACACACTGTGGTGTCTCTGTCGTCTAAACACTGTGACAGTAATAAATATTAATGAAGTTGCACAATAGAGCGCGCTGATTGGTTTAAACCAAGCCTTACTCATGCATCACACTGTAAGACGTAATAAGACACACTCTGGCACAGACGTCCAGTCTGTACGCTGGAATACAACGCTATTATCTCATGGTCGTGACGCAGCTTCAAAAATTAGTTTCAAACAGGAAGTACGAATTTGCTTGAAATAACGCAAAAACAACCAATTTACACTTTTTAGTGAAATATAGGTGTCCTAATAGTGTTTTTAGCAGTGTGGGACACATATACGACTGTCAACAGCTCAAAAAATGTGTTTTGGTGTTTCGTGACCCTTTAAATGTTTCTTGCCACCCTTCAGAGAAACAATGAAAATACGGGAGAAATACAGGAAAACGCCTTTATGGAATGATAGCGAGATAGAACTGTAAAATTCGGGA